AGGTTCTTCTCCAGGGTGTGTGCTAATCTCTGCACGTCTGCCTTAGCTACAGAAGTTTGAGAATATTTTGTATTCTGTTCTTGGTTGTTTTTGTCACTTTGCCCTGGTGAATCTGAGAAGAGTCAGTTCATTTTTGAGGAAATATTAGTCGCTCACAAGACCCAAAGAAGTGCCCATCTTGGAGACATGGAGCAGGTTTCCTCTAGTGACTCTTTCTATCATCCTGCCCAGCCGTGGCTGCACCATACAGGGTTGTTACTACTCACCAAAGGGCTCTTCTCTCTCAGTGGGCATCATTAAGCTGCCTTCAAATCTATTCCCATCCTCCGTACGCTCCAGTTAAAGTTTAACCAGGTTATATATGCTTCTGCAACTGTTTTACATTTACGCATTATGCACTTTCCCTCATTAACACAATCTTCTGATATACCATATTAGTTCACCTGGTGGTTGCATTTCATATTTCATCAGTGTGCTACTTTAAAAAGTATTTTTCCTTATAAGCAGGGCTTTTACATCTTTGCAATTCATTTTATAGTACATTTTATGGGTAGAGAGTTAGGTCAAAGGGCCGTTGTGTTGTTAGATTCCAGCTCATTTGCTTTTAATGATTTTTCTTATTGCAAAATAAAACAGATCCACAGACGTATTGGGGCTGTTGTAAGTTGATGCCTTTTCACAAAGTGAAACCTATCCAGGAAGAGCCCTAGCCTTCCTGAACCACAGCCCAATTCTCATTTCAGAAGCTGGAGCCTGTTTTTGCCTGGTTTGCTTGCAGACTGTGTGCAAACAGAGTCATCCATCTGGAATCTCGTCCCTCCTGGGTTTTTTTTGTTTGTTTTGTTTTGGTTTTTTTTTTTTTTTTTTTTTTTTTTTTGGTTTTTTTCGAGTTTCTCTGTGGCTTTGGAGCCTGTCCTGGCACTAGCTCTTGTAGACCAGGCTGGTCTCAAACTCACAGAGATCTGCCTGCCTCTGCCTCCCAAGTGCTGGGATTAAAGGCATGTGCCACCACCGCCCGACTTCTCCTGGGTTTTTTTAGCATGTGCATTTTCAAAGTTCACCGTGGTGCAACAGAGACTTCTCCTTTCATATTCCCTGTAGTTTCACTACATTTGAGACAATCTCATGTAATTTGGACTGACCTCAGACTCATTTTGTAGCTGATGATGGATTTGAATCCTGCCTCCACCTCCCACCGAGTAGGATTACAGACCTGCCTCACAACTCCAGACTCTCAGTTTGTGTTCTTGAGCCTCAGCAAAACTTCACGGCTTGATCATTTCCCATCTAGGAAATTCTTCTCTGTGATGGCCATCTGATGGCGTTTGTCAAGGTCTAGTTCTAAACAGTCTCAGTTAAACTCCGGTTTCTTTCTGTCTGCATCCTGATGATTCCTGACTATATATTTATATCTTAGACGTCTCTGAGCTTAAAACTTGGCATTCAACTTGACCCCACCGCTTCCTATTCCACAACTCGTTAGAGTTCAACAGTCTAAGACTAAACAAGCGTTTTCACTCCTTCCAACCATCCCTGACCCAGACATTGTTTCTAGTCTCTGAAATATCCTACCAGCTAGTTCTCACAGTACTGAGAATTCAGTCATAACTGGCATTCATCGCTCACTATACCCGATAGTTACTCAGCTCAGTCCTGACATTTCCTCCCTAGTGACTCAGGTAGCTGTTCACTTTTCATGTTCAGCTTTGCCAGTACCCAAATCCAAATCATTTTTGTCTCTTGCTTTCTTCGTAGCCTTTCAAGTCATAATTAAAGAGATTGCTTAATTAAGTTTAATTAAGATAAAGCTCTACTTTAAAAGTCTACATTGGTTTGTAGTACACAGAAGAAATTTTTTAAGCGAGTAAATAAAGGTCTATAATCGCTACTCTTCTCTCATCCCATCCTTCCTCTTGGCATTTCTGGATACATCCATACATTCCTTAAATATGATTAAAACAGAGTTGAAAGTTGAACCAATATTTCCATCACGGCTCCATGTAAGATAGAATGGTTAGTGCAGTGCAAATTAGAAGGGAAAAATTAAATATTGCACCCAATATTTTTAGACAAAATTACATATTTAATGAATGACATCATACTAAAATATGATCCAATTTTGTTTAACACATAAATATATAGGCTCATAATTTTTTATACTTGTATAAGTTTTAATTAGATTATACAAAATTATTTCCTATTTATATAGACAATGAAACTGAAAAATGACCAAAAATGTTGTCAATTGTTAGAGGTAAACACTTTTGAAAATGAGGAGATAATGGAATCATTTCTAGAAGGTTCCAAATGACATGAGGCTAATTAAAACAACTAGAAGAAGCAGCTTTGTTCCCGAAGGAACTGTGAGGGACCATCTCAGTTTGTGTTCACAGCAAAGGTGAGAAGCATCACTTGCTGAAGCCAGTTTTCCCAGGTCTGAGAAAAAAGCAGGGTGCATGTAAATAAAGTCCAAACCTCAGAAGACAGCAAGAGAAAGATGTTAATATCCTTTCTTCTACAACCTCACCACAGCAAGAGAGAGATGTTAATATCCTTTCTTCTACAACCTCACCACAGCAAGAGAGAGAGAGATGTTAATATTCTTTCTTCTACAACCTCTACAACCTTCTACAACACAATGGCCTATGGTCATCTTCATTTTGCAAACACTGGTGTTCTCATCCTTCTAAAACTGTAACAACTAAAACACAACTCCCGCACTTACGGCTCAGAGGAGGAGCCACCACAGCAGCCCAGAATGCAGAAATGGGCTTTTTGAGTCTTTTTTTTTTGTTGTTGTTGGAGATTCTCTGAGAATGTGAGATTTGGAGGTGAGGATGCTTCTCAGACCATACAGAAAGGAGCTGAAAGTTCCTACTGAAAATAACAACTAATAACACCATGTTAAGTGTACAATTAGGGATGCAACAGATTCAGATTATGGTCATGATTTTGCCACTTAAACACTGAATAATTTTTGATGAGTCATTACATCACTAACTCAGGAAGAGAACAGTTCATCTATCCTGAAGATTACATTATGAGCATACAGTGCTTGGTGTACTTATCATTAAGAGAACAGTTCATCTATCCTGAAGATTACATTATGAGCATACAGTGCTTGGTGTACTTATCAGTAAGAGAACAGTTCATCTATCCTGAAGATTACATTGTGAGCATACAGTGCTTGGTGTACTTATCATTAAGAGAACAGTTCATCTATCCTGAAGATTACATTATGAGCATACAGTGCTTGGTGTACTTATCTATAAATGGTAGATAAATAATCACTAGGAAGAAACAAGCAATAATGATAATACCAAGACTGCGGCAGGTGCTACTCATGTTGAGTCGGGGCTAAAGATAATGAGCATCCCAAGGGCAGAAATTAGCCCATGTTTTCCCCAGGGTTTTATGGACTCCTCTTATTTCTCTCTGGTACCAAGGATGAGTTCCTAGGTAACCATTGGCTAAGGATCACCTAGGAATAAATCCACCCTCTAGAAGTCTTATTATTAAAATCTCATGCACACCAACCATTTTGTCTCCTCACAGAATAAACACCTAAACATTAGATTTTGCTTTATTTTTGTAACTAAGATTTTGTAAGTTCCAGGGGAGAGGAAGCAGTGGTTTCTGTATGATGAAGTCAACTTTACTGAGTCTACGTAAGTTCACCCATTGCATTGATGTCTGCTTTCATCCTGTTGTTTGTTACATTATTACATTATTGAAAATTACATATGACTAGACCAGTGGAAATTAAATTTAAAATAATGATAAAAGGGATGCTGAGATGACTTATCAGATAAAGGTGCTGGCCACTGAGTCTGAGGGCCTGAGTTTGAGCTCTGAGACCCACAAAATGGAAACAGAAAATTAACCCCCTATCTATTGTCCTCTGATTTATACACTGAGACCAAATAACACAAAAATGAATCACAACAGTACAATAATAATAAATTAATTTAACTATTTGAGAACTAAAATAAAAATTACAGACATCTGTCTTTCCAGTACTGATCATAGTAAATGTAATCTTGAAGGATTTATTGCCTCTAGATTTAAAATTTCTTCAATGTAATAAGAGGGTCAAAGTTGATTATAATATCAGTATTCAAGGATTATAAATATATACCTATAGAACACATCTTATCTGCCATTTTTATAATTTCATACACACCTATATGTGAATTTCAGATTTTCATAAAAAAGCAGATTATCATTCAGGTGTCTGGAAGAGTTCATGGGTAAGGTCTTGCCTTATGATGACACATCTTATCTGCCATTTTTATAATTTCATACACACCTATATGTGAATTTCAGATTTTCATAAAAAAGCAGATTATCATTCAGGTGTCTGGAAGAATTCATGGGTAAGGTCTTGCCTTATGATGACAGTTGTTCATCCAAGGCAAATGAGAAGGAAAACTGGGAAATGCAAATTCTCAGGTTCTGCCAGGTGCTCGGTGGATCAGGAGCTATGGGGACAGGTCGGCCTTTGTGTTGCAATCTCTCAGCCTGGGAGCTCTGATAAACCACTCCCAAGGAAGAGCTATAGATAATGTCACCATCAGAACCAGCAGTCAGCCACTGAAGGGGGACCCAAGACAGGTTGGGAGCTTGAAGATTTTATAGCAGGAGGGAGTGGCATGGCTGGAGACTATGGAGCAGGAGGCCAATGGCTCTGTATTATACCACACTTTCTCAAGCAGCCATTTCTAACAGTAGTCCAGGAACGGCTGAATTTAAAGGTATTGTCCCTGCAGTGGGTCCTCACAGAGGACACACACCCTCTATTCTGAGACATAGTTACTGGGACCCTAGCCCTCAGAATTCTTGATGGTGGAAATCTAAGAAGGAAAAGGTTTCTCAGGGTGATCTGGCATGTGTTTTTCAGACCCTTTTCAATGACATGCTTTTTTTGGTTTAATTCACATTTCACAGGTAGCTAAAACAGGGTGTATATTCAGGGAAAGTAGAATATTCTTGGAGTTTCTCTGAGCTAAAGGTGAGTTTGTCTAGAGAAAGCCGCAGGGGTGAGAATAAGCCTATGGAACCGACAAGGCAAGAACTCAGCATGGACACTCTTCAGGAGGTTTATAGAAGCCACATTGTCATCCAGGACATTTCCCTGGGAGGGGAATCCACGACTTTGCAACTTCCTGGCCAGTGTGAGGGCCACCAGTCGACTGTAACCTTTCCTGCGATGGTCAGGTAGGGTGTAGCCATGACACATGGTGGCAAACTGGTCGGTGATACCCCAGGACACGGGGTTTCCCTGCTCGTCACGCACACACACGCTGGGAAAGCACTCGATGAGTTTGGCTATGTACCGCAGGCACTGCTGGTTGCCGCCACGGGACCAAGTCCGGTTGAGGAGATCAGCATCTGAGACGCTCAGGAAGGTCAGTCTCGGGGTAGGCCCAGTTCTGGAAGAAAATCAATAAATCAATAAATTGGTAGTCACGTGACTACCAATAGCTACCCTTTTCCTACCGACCATAAATGGAAATCATCTCTAAGACTATGTTTGGCTTTTTCAAGAATTTAGAACTTAAAACGCTTCCCACTTGAAAGATCGTCACGTGAAATTTAGCTTCATGCCCACTTGTTTTCGTCAGCTATGCAGACTGCGGTGTGGTCGAGGCTGCTTCTACATCTTTGCTTTCTGGGAGAAGAAGTATAACTTAATTTATATTTGGATTGCTTTTGTATTGATGCAGAAAAATAACACACTCTCAGGGTTCAGCCAGTCACAAGCAGACAGTTGACTGGACTCACTCCCAAAGGAGGCAGACACCTAGCTGATGCCAATCCTGTGATTCCCTATTTTGTTCCCAGTATCCGACTTGATATTATCTCGAGGGGTAGAGTGTAAGAACCTCTTTTGATTTTGTTGCTACATTCTTGAATTATAAACCAGGCCACAGTTAACACAAACATACATCATATTATTATTATTATTATTAGTAGTAGTAGTAGTAGTAGTAGTAGTATCATTTTCACTCAGAGTTGCCCTTATAAGACTTTGTGAAGTCTTAGGCAATCCAGATTTTTTTGAGCCCTAATATTTTGAACTTAATGATATTTTAGCATTCAGTAGCATTCTGTCTCTGCATAGTCATGGCTATACGAGTCATTATGCATATGTACATTCTCTGGAAGAATTAAGTTTGCCAAACTTTCCCTTCTGCTGCTTCTCTCTAGATCGAATACTCTCATTTTTTCACTTGCCAAGTTTTACAGGTCACTAGCTTTTATTTATTTTAAATTTTTTATTGAAGTGTCTAGTAATTTTATATATGAAAGCCCTGATGTCAAGATAAAGTTCCTGGTTCATTTTAAGAATTGAAACAAGGTTCTGGGCTAGAAAGATGGCTTAGCAGTTAAGAACAGTGGCTGTTCTTCCAGAGGTCCTGAGTTCAATTCCCAGCACCCACATGGTGGCTCACAACCATTTATATTGGGTTCTGATACCCTCTTCTGGGATGTTTGCACACACAGAGAGAATTCATACACATAAATGACTGAAATTATAAGAGCTGAAGCAAATTGGAGCCTCTAAGGCTGAGTGTGCCTTGGAATTTGCTAGCATTGTGAATATGTCAAAACTACTTAACCCATTGACTAGTAAAGACTCAAATAATAGCCCTGCAGAGGTTTTATCTAATTATGCCTTTTACTTTTCTTAGTGGTTGCCAGCTGTAGCATTGGCCAATCTTTTGTTCAGGAGAGAAGGAGGGGACTGGCTTATGATTTTTCAGTTCAAGTTTGAAAGTATACTTTAAAGAAAGGGCAGAGAACGTCAAGCACAAATATTAGTACAAGCAGAAACATTGCCAAGGCAAGTACACTTCAGGCACAGCGTGTTACATATGTGTACAAGAAGGATGAAGTATTTGGAGTACAATCCACAATTTGAGTATGGATTTGGGGTTAAAGACAAATGTTACTGCTAGGAAAGATTACCAGAATAAGCCCCATGACACTGGGATGGACAAGGATATTTTGAATAAGATACAGAAGTATGGGGGAAATGGCAAATATAGGACTACATCAAGGTAAGAGCTTCCAGAAGGCAGCTAAATTCAGTATGACACACTATGGTGAAAGGCTGTGTACAACTAAAGAAACAAAACAATGAAGCAAAACCCTGAAGAATGGGTAAAAACTCTTGTAAATTATACTTGTGATAGGTGTCGAATATTCAGAACACAAGGAATGAAAAATTTTCTAGTTGGAATAAAAACAACATAATTTAGAAATTTAGACCTACAGGGACATTTTTAAAAATATGGTATACAAATGGCCAAGAGGTACATGAAAAAAACTACAAATCAAACCCACAAAGAAATATCACCTCAATGAAGTTAAAAAGGTTCTTATCCAAAAGTCAAGAGACAACAAGGAGTAGTGAAGATTGGAAAAGGAAACTTTATACACTAGGAGAAAGGTAAATTAGTATAGCTACTAAGGAACAGCGTGGTGATGCTTCCAAAAATTAAAATTAGAACTGTAATATGAGGGGCTGGAGAGATGGCTCAGCGGTTAAGAGCATTGCCTGCTCTTCCAGAGATTCTGAGTTCAATTCCCTGCAACCACATGGTGACTCACAACCATCTGTAATGGGGTCTGGTGCCCTCTTCTGGCCTGCAGGGATATGTGCAGGTAGAACACTGTATACATAATAAATAAATAAATAAATAAATAAATAAATAAATAAATATTAAAAAAAAAGAACTGTAATATGATCAAGAAATCCTGGGCGGTGGTGGCACATGCCTTTAATCTCAGCATTCGGGAGGCAGGGGCAGGCAGATTTCTGTGAGTTTGAGGCCAGCCTGGTCTACAAGAGCTAGTTCCAGAACAGGCTCCAAAGCTGGAGAGAAACCCTGTCTCGGGGAAAAAAAAAAAAGAAAAAGAAAAAGAAATTCTATTCCGGACTATATAGCCCAAAGTAGTAAAATCAGTCCCTGTTGACCACAATATGCTTCTCAATAAGCAAGACATGGACTCATTTTAGGCATTTACAAATAATGTGACATATTTACAATGAAATCGCATTCATCCTTAAAAAGAAGATTCAGTCTTATCATCTGTAAAAACACGGATGGGACTGTTGTTATATTAATAAAAATAAGTCAAGTGCAGAAAGTCAGAGAGCACACAATCTCACTCACATGAAGAATCTAAAATCCTAATCTCCATAAAGCAGAGAATGAAATAGTGGCTAGCCAAGACTGGGGAAGGCAAACAGGGATTAGTTTTTCTTTTAAGAAATCTTCGTCTTACCTAGGAGTGGGGGTGGCACACACCTTTAATCACAGTATTTGGAAAGCAGAGGCAGGTAGATCTCTAAATTTGAGGGCAGCCTGGTCTCTACAGAGTTCCAGGACAGCCAGGGTGTCACAGAGAAACCCTGTATCGAAAACCGTCCCCACAACACACAAAAAATATTCTTTGCCTTTTGTATCTTAAAGTAGCTAGGATAAAGCATAAAATTATGAATTCTGTTTCAGTTACTTGAATAAGTATGCAGCGTTCATAGGGTATAGTTCTCAGGATGGATATGGAAGATTGTCCCTGTGCTGGGGGAGGTCACAGGGTATATGTGAAAGATTACCAATGTACTGTAGGAGGATTTTTTCCTTTCAAAGTTCGTGTGTGCTCCAAGTTTCCATATAAAACATAAAAGAAAGCCCTGGTGATTTCCTGCAATGTTAGAGTTAGTCTGTGCTTACCATGTCCTCCAGTACCTACCACAGGAGCAGAGAACTAACATGCATGGAGGTGGGCACTTTTTAATCAACCTTGTTTTATTCTTTTAAAAAAATCACTTAAAAAAGATACTACACCCTAATTCTTTTAATTTAACTTATAAAGTGTGTGTGTGTGTGTGTGTGTGTGTGTGTGTGCATGTCAATATGAGGTGTCTTCTTCAATTGTTCTCCACTCTGTTTTTGAGACAGGGTCTCTCACTAAATCCCACTTGGACTGGATGGCCAGCAAGTGCCAGAGAGACTCTTATTTGCCTCACAGCAACAGGTGTTTGCTGCCACAACCAACTTTTAAGTGGGTGCTTGTGTCAAAGACACTTTACCAGAGTGAGCTATCAATCTCTCCAGCTCCTCGGCCCCAGTTCTTAAGAAGGGATTGAGGTCCAGGAAGGATAAGCTGAGGGGAAGAGGCTAATGATGCAAGGCCTTCAAATAAGAGAGAAGAGGCAATGTAGACACACAAAGACACATGTTTGCAAGGGACTGCCTTCACATGCTGGAGTTGTGATCAGTTCTTGGCCTCAGGACTCACTTGTGTGTTTTATTTCAGCTCTGTAAAAAATAGAGTCATGATGGTTCTACTTTAGAGGACAGATGAAAAAGAAACATAGAAAGGGAGAGGGATATATTTAAATCATTTAGTCCCTTGTAGTTAAAAGCCCAACATAAACCAGTAACACACCTCTAGCTTTAAGCAGCAGAAACCTCAACAACTTTGGACTCACACCACAAGGATTACTTAGGAATATATCATGAAGAAGGGAAACAAGAGATGACTTTTTTACGTATACATCATATACTAGGAAAATGCAGGTTTCACAAGCTCACTGACTATTGACAAAGATACTATTTGATTTTCAGAGGAATAATAAGTAGTGAAACACAGGAAGAGAAAAAGTGTACGTAAATACACACACACACACCCTTAGCCCAATGGCCCAATTCTTAAAGCCTAACTAACTATTCTTTCACAATAATAAACATTCCAGCATTGTTATTAGGACTTGCATAACAGTAAATCCAGCTCCAAATGTAGAACCTGTTTTACATACAGGAAACTGTGGTCTGGCACAGATGAAACAGGAGAAAAATGGACAGCCTTGAAGGAAGACAGCTGTATATCCAAATCCAACAGCTTTGCCTTGGCAACGGCTTTGGAAACAGCATATAATTCACCTTGCAGCCCTGGATGATGACAGACACAGAAGCACAGTCATTTATTTCAGCATTTTCATGCCAACTGTCATCCATACCACTGCCTGATAGCCTGTCATGTTTTAACCACGATGCAGTTAGTTATGTATGTATTACTACAGACATTCTCTTCTTGATCTACAAATCAAATTATGTTGTCATCACCAGTCATGCGCTTCTACTACTGCTGGAAATATCTAAAAGGAATTTGGAATTTCTTACTGGAAGTTTTATTTGTTAATTTACTTAATACCTCAAATTAATTTTATTGAAAAGAATTCTTTTTTTATTTATAGCTTTAAAAGTTAAAGGCGGCTGTTTATAAGAGTTTAGATGTATTTAATATGGTAAGGAGTGATGGTTGCCTTCAACTTACCAAGCTAGGATCACAAGGGGAAGAAGTCTCACTAAGGATTGACTACCTGGGGGTTAGCCTGTGGGCGGGTCTGTGCAGTATTATCGTAATCAGTTAACTGATTTGGAGAGAACCAGACCACTGTGAGTGGCAGCTTTGGCAGGAATCAGGCCTGAACTTGTTACGAGTAGAGAAATAAAACTGAGTGCAAGCAAGCAGCTAAGTGAATGAGCGTGTATGGGCACGTCCTTGTTTCTCTGCCTGTGACTTTCTCTGTTCTTGGATGCAGTGTTGGAAGTTAGTACCTTGACTGACCTCCAGGGATTGATGAGGAAATTATTTCAGCTGTAAGCTGAAATAAACTCCTTTTGCCCCTAAGCTATTTTTGGTCATGGTATTTTATCATCCACAGGAATGAGACTAGAACACAAGGCAACTTTAAAGGTCCTGTCCATTTCCACAACGTCCCTTATGGTATTCCAGGTGCAGCCTGGGGTTGGAAGATTGAGCTCAGTTGATTCATCCAGATCCCACTCATTTCTCCCAGCATGCTAATTAGTTATACCCCTTTGTTTGATATTTATCAGGCAGTGTTCTGGGAACTGTACAAATAGACTTTGGTCTCTGCTCTTAAGAACTACAGCATTGCCCTCTCTCCAAGTGCCCTATTTTCTAGCCTTTGCAGTCTGACTATGGGTGGACAGATTCCTCTGTAACGTGGCTTTCTTTCTTCTAGGCTCATTACTGAAGCATGTTATGTGACTGTTTTTCTCCCCATTTGTGAGTCACTTCTCAGTATGGCCTCAAGACTACAACTGGGTGAGAAGGCACATGGAATGCAGTGTGATGGCTGAACCTGGGCACCTCCCTCCCTGAGCTGAGCCTCAGTGAAGACTAGAAAGTTTACAGGTTAATGCTACTAAAATTACAGCTGCAATAACTAGTGTCCCTTATTACAAAACTGAGTTATAGCTAAGTAATCAAAAGGTTTGTATTTTATTGTTTTTTAACCATGTGCTATACATGTAGTCTATATGGCTTAGGCAGGCCTTAAATTTGGATCCTTCTGCCTCTTCCTCACAAACACTGGGATTACAAGTGGGTTCCCTCATACCCAACACTCAAAATATTGCCTACAAGGAAAAAATAAGTGATCCAAGCCAAAGGTAACATACAATAGGAATAGTAACTGTATAAAACTCAAGTATATATGTTAAGTATTTATGGACTTATCTCTAAGTTTCTATCTCTATATATCGTACATGTATGTAATATCTTTTAAGAGATCTATAAAAAGTGTGAGTGTGTGTGTGTGTGTGTGTGTGTGTGTACACACACATGAGCACATTGACTGTAAAGGCCAGAAGATGGTTTCAAATTCCTTGGAGCTGTAGTCACAGGTGGTTTGAACTGCCTAACACTAACATGGTATTAGAAGCTGAGCTCTGGTCCTCTGGAAGAACAGCTAGTACTCTTAACCACTGAGCTATCTCTCTAGTCTCCATGGTATCTTTTCATACCTCTCTAGTGTACGTGATAAGAAAGGAACATGCGAGCATATAATGTATGCTTTGAACTTGACCTTACCTTGTATCTGAAAAACTTGGTCCCAGTTGATAACGTCATGATCTTCCAATAGCTGTTGGTAAGCGCTGATATCTTTGTAGAACACAGCATATGCATTTGTGTAATGGTCAAGGTTATCCGTCTCAGCCTTGGGCAGAAGACATAGTCATGAATGCAATACCCAAGCTGGGTAAAATCCATGCCCTGGAAAGACTAGCTATTATTACCATCTAGCTAAGTTTCAATTGTTCAAATCAGTTACAGAGAAACAGAGAACAAGAATGAAGCTAATATACTGTAATGAGAAAATTAGAAATTTTGTGCCTTTTACCCTTGATTCTTTCTTCCAGAACTAAGAAAATTTTAAGAATTCTGACTTTCTAGAATTTAATTTATAAAAATTAAAACTATAGTAGCCTGAGCAGAGCCTCTGCTGAGTTGCCTCAGATGACTCTAGAACTGTTGAGGGAGCTGCGGGCTGCGTTTCTGCCATCTGCCTCCTGGCCTCCTGGCTATCTTATGCCCCAAAATAATTACACAGAAACTGTATTCTTTTAACCACTGCTTGGCCCATCATATCTAGCCTCTTCTCGGCTAACTCTCGCATCTGGACTAGCCCATTTCTAATAATGTGTGTAGCACCCCAAGATGCGCTTACCGGGAAGATTCTAGCCTATGTCCATCCTGGGTCGGAGCTTCATTGCATCTGCCCTCACTTCCTTCTACCCAGCATTCTGTTCTGTCTACTCCACCCACCTAAGGGCTGGCCTATCAAATGGACTAAGGCAGTTTCTTTATTATCCAATGAAATCAACAGATTGACATGTGACCTCACATCATTTCCCATTTTTCTGTTTAAACAAAAAATTATTTGTTCCTATTGTATATAGTTGTATTTGGTTTGGCTCTATCTTATTTAGACAAAAGGGGGAGGTTTGGCTCTATCTTATTTAGACAAAAGGGGGAGATGTAGGGGAAGCTCTAGCCAATCACCTTGCTTGCAGGGCAGGGTCGCCTGAGGATATTTTTTACTAATAAATATTGCTGGTGTGCTCTCCCCCTTCCCTTCTGCTTTCCTGTTCTCTGCTGGAACCTCGGGTTCTGTAAGTCTTTTCCCAATTAAAGCTGAATATATTATTATAATTTCTGTCTGCCTTCATTTACGCTGCTACATAGAACTCATCACATTAACAGCTGAAGCTCATCAGGATACCTGGCTTTTATCACTAGCTGCACACACACACACACACACACACACACACACACACACACACACACAGGAAAGTTAAAATTCAGTGAGCACCATGTAAGAACCACAGCCCTCACCACCTTCCTCATGCAGAGGGCAGATCAACTCTGATCACTTGAGGTTCTCTTTAGCCTCAGAGGGAGAATGAGAACATTGATCTCATTGTGCTGACTTCCTTAAGTTTTCTCAATGTTTTTTAAAATTCCCAAATTCATCAGTCATAAGAAATCCCCTACTAGTGAAGGAGCTAGTTTGTACATAGCAATCTTCTAGAGACTGTGAGACGCTAAGGGAACAATTCTGGGCTAGCAGTCTTCCATCTGAGACTCCAAAGTAGCCACCTACAAAGAGCTGATGACATGCATGACATGTTAAGATAATGTGTGCTATTGTAATAGTCATTCCATTCCTTTTATCTAACTCCTTCTTTTCAGTTGGAGCCAATTTTTACTTTTAATGTTTCTCAGTTGCTTTTCAGCACTGTACCTCTCTCTGTCGCCGGGTGATGACAGCTTTGAAGTCGGGCCATGAGTCCAATACTACTTCCTTTTGAAAGGGATTACCACGATTTATGTTCATCACTGCTCCATACACCTGAGCCAGAGAACCAGAGACCATTAGCTATTCCAGCTGAGAGAGGAATTATAGAAATATTCACACACATATACAAAATGTGGAGTTACCATTTCAAATATGACCAGGGAAACTAGTAAAAAGTCTGTTAAATCTTGATATTCTATAATTCTGAGAGAGAATGCTTGGTGACTGAGCACCAATTAATATGAAGGTAATAAAAGAGGCTGTTCTGAAAAATATGTCTTTCCCATCTGTTTCCTTCATTAAGAAAAATGTCCATCCTAAAAACATCACGTACACACAGAATTAGTGAAAGTTACAGCAACATAGCAAGGATTGATAAGTTAATATCACAGTATTTTCTTCTTCCTCACCATCATCATCATCAAACAGAAAACAACTCCAAGGCAACTTCATTGCTCACTGCAGCCTCATTTTTACATTTATTATAATATTGATTTATGACATCTTCAACACTGTCACAGAGTGATCAGCAGGCCCTCTGGGATTTTAGATTGGAGGCTTGAGTGACCCAGAGGAAACAAACCTATAACTAAACTTGAGTCCTCAAGCATAGTCTTATCTTCAGCACCACCAAGTTGTATCATTTAAACCATGTTCAGAAATAACGCAGTCTACCATTGGCCAAATTTCCCTAAAAAGTCCCCTGGGACGACAGAAGGGTGACAGGAGCAGATTGTGAAACTAACATGTTCATCGGAGACACATCTGACATTACCTCCTAGATTAACACAATAAAGAAGCACAGTACAATTAGGCTCACAATACCTTGAGTGATTCAGGAAAGTGACTCTTCAACATTTTCTCCAGTATCAGTAATTTGGTGGAGCAGTTTAACACCAACATTGTCTCCAAAGGTTTGAGCTTCCACACCTAACTAGAAACTTGAAGATAGACATTTAATTTCTGCTTATTAACTTTTGATCTTATTGGGAAAATGCTAGGGATTCCATTTTCTTTTCGTGTAATGCTGATGCTGCCTTTGAAGAGGATGGAAATGGAAGGTGGGCAGGGAGGGCTTCAGGGTAGGTAAACCAGTGAATATGTACAAATGGAGATCACTAGACCTAATCATTTTCAGAGGGGACTACACATTCACTATATTCTGATTGTCCCCAGCAGGGAACTAGTGAGAACTGAACTTCTATATTCAAGTGTGTTTTGTTTTTTGTTAGTCTCAAATAGCTTGTTGGCAGCAAGAAGGGAGGGCATTCCTGGCTTGTCAGTTTCTTTACCATCATCCACCATATAAGTTCTGTGTTATAGGAGAGAAATATTGATACTTATGGGCCAATAATTACAGGGATGGAAGAGAAATAACTGGGTTTGACACAGTAAAAGCAAACAAAAATCCCTACTCCTTTAGTGACAATGGTCTCCTTAGCTTGGAGGCCCCTCCTCTTCTGGAGAAATTGAAATGCTTGTCAACAAACATTACCTTTGGTTTGTCCTGAACTCTTTCTTGTCTTTTAATTGGAGGACAAAATGATACTACCTGCTAGCTCTATCATTCCCTAAATGCTGTGAAATAATTTTTTTGAACACAAGTAAATGTGTGTGTGTGTGTGTGCGTGCGCGTGTATGTATACATGTACATACATATAAAAGATTTAAGTTAAAATTGAAATTCAGGGAAATGGAAAATAAGACACAAAAGGAATAGAGCCTAGAGAACGTTTGGTCAATAGACTACGGTCCTCCAGATAGAATCTTATTCCTGGATTTCATATGCAATATCCAACTGCCTTAAATTAAGACTTATTTATAACTGCCGAATCAATCCTGTCAATGTGGTGGCAGTTATCTACAGATGTGTAAAGGACAATAAAAAACTGTCTCCTGACACACATGTCCAGTTAAGTTAAACAGAGAACTTTACTGTCCTATTTCAAGTCTGATGATGTAAACAAGAGTCACTATTTAGTGCTACTTTTATTTACCTAATTAAAAAATACCTTTGGTTAGTAATTTTCTGTTTAAAATGTGAGGATATGCAATGGTACAGCGCTTGGCTCTAAAAGGGGCAGCTGTATCACTCTCTCTAAGGTTCAGGGAGTACAGGAGGGGGGTAGAAAAAGAGTCAGAGAGTGGAAGATGTACAACAAAAGATATTCCCTTGACATGACAGGGCTGTTGTCCTCACTGAATCATTACGGTTGTGGTCATCTGTATGAGAATAGACCTGCCAACATTTCATCACGGGTCGTGAGAGGTTCCACATCTCTGCGATTGACAGTTGACAATTAATAGGTGTTAAGGGAGCTGTGTCATTTCCTTCAGAAGTGTCGCCATTGATGAATGGCCCCTGTTCCACTGAATAATCTTCTACCCGTGGTCAAGGGAAAGGAAATCTAAATATAGTGGCCTTACACAAAAGGAATGGAAGATGGAGTGGGTGACTTGTGAAGAAGAGTTCCAGTGGGAGAGAAAGGGGATGAGAGAGAAAGACACACACACACACACACACACACACACACACACACACACACACACAGAGAGAGAGAGAGAGAGAGAGAGAGAGAGAGAGAGAGAGAGAGAGAGAAATGACAGGCAGCAGCAGTGAAAGGAAATCAAGTTCATGCCACATATATATGGAACTGACAAATTAAAAAATTAGAAATGGCTCCTATTAATAATGCATAAATGCTGCCTAGATAATCCTAAGTGCAAGGAGACTGTGGTATCTCGCAGGAAAAGCACGTTAAACATTGTTCAAGCATGAGTTTTAGTGTTACTGACCATTAGATGAGAGCCAGTCGACAATACATATTGACTAAACGATGTGTATAACAAAAAGAACATACAAAGTGAGGTTATGCATAACTCGTGATTGGAAACAGTCTTGTCGAACCTAACTCCGTTCCCCTAGGAGCAATGCTTCAGTATCAACTGCATCAAACTTTCACACGACAGTGCAGACTGAACCACCCACAATGAGAAATGCCCTGCTCACATTTACCACTAAATTTTCCGGTAGTTAACACGGAGAGAAATAAACAGGGTTAGGTACTGCTTCAGGGATCCATAAGATTCCTCCATGTTCCTCTCCTGTCAGTTGCTTGCTTTTGCCTGTCGGCCATCTCTACACCGCAGTCCGGTTTCCTATATTCAGAGCCTCCCTGGATCAGACTCCCTTCAGGGCTTAGCTCTTGCAACCAACAGATTACTTAGGTGAAAAATTAAAATCAGATATTCCCTTGGACCTTACATGCATGATACTACTTTTAACACACAGATGTGAAAATGCTTATTCAGTAAAGAGTGATTAATTTCGTGGGCGATCATCAAATGTGAAAATTTAGTTAGTGGCACAAAACAGAATATGGAAATTCCCATAGATAAAGAAAGCATGCTTTTTACACACTAAAAATATATGTATATATTTGTATATATATGCATGTATATATACAAAGTGTTATCAGAATGCGATGTCCTTCCCACTCCACTACAGGGCCCTAATAATCAGAATATCTTCTAGAATTGGAAAGTAAAGATGTATAACCTATTTAAGTAAATTTCTGCCAGTAGGCACACATGAAAAGTCTTGTCAAGAAAAATAAGTTTTCCAAGGTTTAAGAACTTGAGTTTCTTTAGGAACATTGTTTATCAACACAGAGATAGTACCTGGAAAGTTTTATTGATTAATCATACAATGAAAGAATAACTGTTTTCGAAAATCATTTTTAGAAACAAGAAAAACATTAATTTGTTTTCATGATAGTACACCATTTACAACACAATGCCCAGTATCTATTTTTTTTTTATTTTTAGGGAAGCACTCATGCGAACATAAGCTCCAATTATCATAAGTTATACAATCCACTTTCCTAAATTTGCAGGAATTGTAGGGGTCAGTACATGCCTCGGGTGATGGATGAGTCTTGGAGCCTTGCCCTGGGAAATACCTTCTTTATTATGGTATATCTCTGCTGCCAGTGAGATTTTAAATTTTATTTAAATTACAATTAATAATTTCAAAATGTTTGTAATTTTCAAGGGCTACTTGAATAAACTACTACAACCTGGGTCTCTGAGACATTTACTCTCCCACAGCCCTGGCGCCTAGACGGTGAGGAAAGGGATTTGGTAGGCAAAAGTCCTTTGTGTTTCCAGCCCCTGGAAGTTGCTGAAAGCGACCCCAGGTCACAGAACTGGATCCAGGGGAGCTCCCTGCTGAAGAGAGCAGCAATGAATACGTGGCCTCCAGCAAAACGCTAATTTTAAGGCTACCATGTTGGGAACTTCTGGAGTTGCTTTCTGAGGCAACAGATTTGCATGTTCTAAAAGCATTGTCCTTCAGCTGTGAATATTTGGAATCAGCTTGGTTTCTGATTCTAACATAAATACTGTGTAACAGGAAAAAACCAAAACCAAAACCAAAAACATAATAACAAAAAAAAAAAAACCTTTCATCAATTAGGTTCACAATTCCTGTGTTTTGTCTCTGTACATGGCACTTTAGACTTTGGGGGAAATGAATCAAAATTAGGGTGAAATAGATGACCTTTTTCATTCCTCTTTAAACAAGAAGAGTTTCTTTCGAGGACCTGTCTGTCATCCATTGCTCGTAATTACCGCTCACAGCCACCACATATAAAGGACTTTTGGTTCAGATGACAGACATATCTTCTGTTACTCAAGTTAAAAATCACAGCACAGTGCAGCTTGAAACTATGTAACGCTTATATTCCCATGGAAAATTTGAAGTGAAAAATGAAACCACACAAAAGCATTCTTTCCTCTAAACACAAGAATTTATCCTATCTAGAGAAGGTGAATTGTATCTTTACCGTGTCTCTCCTTCCTTCCCAATGATAGACTAATGACTTGGAGGGGGTTATTTACCAAACATACCTTGCTGTTGAGAGAGTTCTGTTGGAAACAGGTATTTTACCAGTGTGTCTCTGCAGAGCGCGTTCTTTGTAAATGGTAAACTTATACGCCTGGGCTACTTTTCTAATTAAGCCTTAGTGGAAAGAGGAGGGAGAGTGGCCACACCTAGAGAAGGGGTGGGATTTGTGCAGGCCTGATAATAATCGTCTCAAATCCAGCACAGGTATTTTCAATCCGTTTTTCTTTTCAACACCATCTAGTCTTGTAGTGCAAACCCAACAAATATGAACCTTGAATAGATGGTTAGTTAGATCCGTTTTAGACATGAGGTCTATCTGTTTATCAGAATCCCATTGTGGGGCGGGGGTAGGAAATAAGAACAGAAACTAGGCAAAGGAGGTACAATAGGAAAGTGATATATGTACTGACTTTTTGGATGCTTTTAAATGTTTTTTAAGAAAACGATTTTGTTGCCCTAAACTTCTAAGGGTATTTGTGGAACTGAGAGTCATTTTGGGAATTATAATTCCTGCACCATATTCTTTTAAATGAAAAGTCAGGCCGCGGATTTCCACCACCGAGTGGGCACTTGAGCATCTCAGCACATGCTCAATAGGGCTTTGGGAAACAAGCTGCAGAGATGTCCCTGGCACACGGAGAGGGCTTGCTTGAAGTGGCCACAGAGGAGGCCACTGTTTGCCATCTTAACTGCTGAGACTAGGTAAGTTAGGACGTTCTTCCTGAAGGACACTGTTCCAAGCAATAAAATGAGTAACTGGCAACTGAAACCCAGCTATTCGAGAAACCATTATGTCAATTATCCTGTGATAAAATTAAGGTGTGTTAGATACTGGTATATTGATAAACAGCAACATAAGACATGTAAGGGCAATATATATCTTTTTGTGGTCCTTAGTTTTCTAATGAACGGATACTATCAATATAGAATAGAACCATGTGCAGTGTCCAATGGAATTATTTGAATTTAAGAGGTCAGGTTATTTATGGCCTAACCCCTAAGCCAAAAAAAGTGGCTGTTGTGTGGTGATTTAGAAGTAAAGAAATGCACCGAAGAACAGCTTTTTAAGAAACGCGCATTTGAACACAAACAGGGCTCACACCTGTAGATAACGCTATCACTCAACTGGGAAATCTGAATTTCTCTATTTGCTCTTTCCTTTCTTTTTCTCAAAGCTGAAAATTTCGTGACAATGAACGAAATGTGAGATTTACACCAATGTCAACTCAAATGCTAATTTTGACAGGTGCAAACTGCTTATTTTTGGTAAACAAAGAATGAAATGATATCCAATCACATAGCGCAAATCCTTTAATCGTAGGTTCTACTGCAGGTGTTGGGAGGGAACGGAGAGGCTTACATAAAGGGTTTTAGATGACTGACGTGGTGTGGAGACTGTAATTTACCTGCGTAGTAGCTTAGCCAAACAGTTATACCACGTTATAGTCCTACGGCAGTTTAGCGAACACTTATTTCCCTGTTAGTTTATTTCAACAGTTTTCAGTCTGAGTTCTAAATCATTAACAAATAAACATTCGCCAACCCAACTGGTGAAAACACTTATTTTGTGTGTAAGTGATCATTTTAAGGTTGAATATCTTTCAAATATTTCTTCACTTTAAAACTTTTCCTGTGAGAAATTAATCCATTTCTCTTGGTACTTCACGTATAGCTATTTTGTGGTTCTTTATCTATAAAAACATACTTTAAATATGTTGAGCTCTCTAGTCTGTAGTGCATTCGGTATCTGGCTTGGCTCTTAAACCTTTTTCAAAACCATCAGACTTCATATAGTTCTCTGTTTGCTAGGCAGGCTATTGCCTTACTGACATCTGCTGTTCACTCATACCGTATTTATTTACTTATCATCTATGTGGCCATAAAGAATATTAGCTACGTATGTATCTCAAATCATTTACAAAAGCATGCCACAATAAAGCATTTCAAGAAAAATGTTTCTGGTTTCCTGACAGTAGCACAGATCTAAGTTAAAGGCTATACCCTTCCAAAGATAGGAGGACTGCCAATTAGTTCATCCATGGCAATGAGCTGCCTCTTTCTCAGAATACTGATAAATTAGAATTCTAATTGACCTGAAATCATTTATCAAGCAGATATCCTGAGGAAAACAGCATGCTGGTGTAAAAGTTCTAACTAATGATAAACATCAATGACTTGGGCTTTTATTAGTCTAAGAGCATGAAATTTTCAGTTGCTGAGTGCAGGGTTTTAAGTTATTCTGTGGCATTTATTCCTTTCCTAATGTCTTCCTGACATTATTTCCTAAGTCAATCCTGCTTCTGATTCTTTGGAATCGAGCAGCTCCAGGATTCCTAAAACAAGACTTCCCTCTATAATAGGCATCAATCCCAAGATAGTTAACTATAGGTGAATTCTGGGGAGCTCTGCTTTGGGGCAATTAGCAGTATTATGACATGTCCTTAATAAAATAACAAAATATTCCTTACTAGAATTTTTTCAACTGGAGTTATAAGTAGCTAAAAAATACAAACCTGATGGAGGAAGGTCATTGGCTAATAAAGGCACTACCCTGGCCCATTTTATTGGTTAGAGGATAGGTGGGAGGAGTAAACAGAACAAAATGCTGGGAGGAAGAGGAAGTGAGCTCAGAGACTCTCGACAGCTCTCCGGAGCAGACACCTCAGCAGAGACGCCATGCCCTGCTCCCTGGCAGACACACGCGATGAAGCTCCGACCCAGGATGGACATAGGCTAGAATCTTCCTGGTAAGCGCACCTTGGGGTGCCATACACAGATGATTAGAGATGGGCTAAATTATTATGTGAGAATTAGCCTAGAAGAGAATGGGCCAAGCAGTGCTTAAAAGGATACAGTGTCTGTGTTGTTATTTCGGGGCATAAGCTAGCCGCGGGCGGCTGGGGGGCTGGGGAGGCAGCCCCGCCGCCCTTATTACTACACAAACCAATGTGCATCTTTTGCTTAGAGATGATTTTCACCTGCTTATGAAATTATTTCTTCATATACATAAACGTACCATGAGGCAAAGTTTATGCAAGAATTCTTTGGTGGGATACAGCTTTATATAACTAATGCTGTCTTTGCCAAAACTGCCACCTTGCCTGTCAGCTGGCCTGGCACCAATCTTCTAGAGACAGTTGAAGAGATATGAGATGAACACCGTGGAGGGCACTAACCTAAGCTGTCTCCTAACTGACATGCGTGTTAACAGCTTCTCAGAAAGCTCAGGTGCATGGGTGAGCTGTGGGCCACTTCTGTGTAACTTCCCATAGAAACACTTCTTTCTACTCCAGGTGCTGGAGCTTCCTTCCAGCCAGCAGCTACCCTCTCAGCTGCAGGTCTTTCACACATCACAGTAAGCCTAGACTGTCACCTCCTCCTGTCATCGCAGTGCCGTCTCCCTTCGGCAGTCAGTTCTCCTATGCTGGCTTACCACAAAACTGTTTTCTGGCTGGGTTTTTGTTCTTTGTTGTTTTTCATTTTTAAGGGAAGAGATATACTTAGGTTCCTTTTAAACAATCTTCTTAGAGTATACTTCGATGACAGCAGAAAATATCCAACATCTAAGCATTCGCCAACCAAAGGACCAAAATGTTATCTTCAAAAAAAAAAAAAAAAAAAAAAAGGAAAAAACAGCAATAATTCCACAAAGACCAGGGATTTAAGGAAGCATGTGGGATTCTTCTAGTTCCACATGACCAAACAAAAAAATGTAGGTTATTAGCTAAAGGGAAAGACACACTCAGATTTTTACTGATTAAGTGCTACACATAAACCCTTCTTATCCACAAAGCTACTCCCAATAAATAAGTTCCATCCAGAAATCATGAACTGTTACAACATTGTCTTTTTATTGAATTTTAAAAATCATTCTTAGTACATGGTCTTAGCAAGTAACTATAGATATAGTATATATGGATTTCTTAGATTTAGCAACTACTATAAACTGTTTTAAGAACATTAGATACTAATGATAGGCCCACAAAGGCTATTTTTATAGTGGATATCAGAGGGGAATTGTTCTGAAGAAACATCAGTTTTGTAGTATTATTACAGTTAAGTTGTACAACTTCAGGCCAGTTGTGAAGCTCA